CTCTGTCTCCCAGGCTGGAGCGCAGTGGCGCAATCTCTGCTTTGCAAGCTCTGCCTCCCGGATTCACACCATTCTCCTGCCTCAGCCTCCCAAGTAGCTGGGACTACAGGCACCCGCCACTATGCCTGGCTAATTTTTTTGTATTTTTAGTAGAGATGGGATTTCACCATGTTAGCCAGGAAGGTCTTGATCTCCTGACCTTGTGATCTGCCCGCCATGGCCTCCCAAAGTGCTGGGAGTACAGCGTGAGCCACTGCAAGCAAGGCCATTTTTATACTTTCTGCAGAAAGGGTACACTCGCCAGCAGTTTTGCCACGAGCGTACACCGAACAAAGGAAACAGGGTCATTTATAACCTGACGCATCTGCCCTACTGCTGTGTCCTGGCTGGAACGGGACCTCACATTCTGTATTTGTCCCAATTGGCTAGTAACTTAGAACTTTTCAAAAGAGGCAAAGGCAGAGGAGAACAAAGGAAGGAGGAATTAATGAAATGCTGGGAAAGGCAAAAACACCTTCAAATAAGGAAGAGGAAGAGGCTATGACCTAATGCTTGCTTGGACCAGTATAAGCACGCCAGGGCAAATATTTAGGCTAAATTGTGGGAGCTAAGAACATATGATTTCTTCACTACAGCAAGAAGATATTTAAGAATGTCAGCACAGGTCTTTGAATAAATTTTGCTTCTAAGAGAAGTTACTATTTATTCCTAATTAGACGGGGAGAAAAGTCCTTGAAGAGGAACCTCTACTTTACTTTTCACACCCCCTTGAAAGCAGGGACTAAGGACCGTTTCCCTCCCAAAACTAGCTTGCTAGTTTGCAACAGTACCCCCCTAGGTTGTGGGGAGTGTGTTAAGTGCTGAAGACTCTGGTCTGACGCCTTGTACCTGAACAGAGAGGAGTTGGTTTTATAGTAGCGGGAAGGAGACAGAATCTTGGTGCCTGCCGTGTTGGGAGTGACCTGATTTCCACAGACTGTGTGTGTTCAACCTCACAGATGAATGTTTCTCCAGTTCCAAAGTCAACAACCAGAATGGCAGAAGGAGGGGAAAGGTTGAAGGTAGGGCTGAGAATGGCTTTGTCTGACCCCTTAACCCAGTCCCAACTCCTCAGCTGGCCCTTTCTCCTGAGAGTCTCTTGCTACTATCTGTGTCAGAGTTTACTACTGATGCCCTAAGGGGCAGGGCCTTTGGGAAATAAAGGAGAAAAAGTGCAAACCAAACAAATAAATTCTTCCTTAGCAGGGTTGGGAAAGATAAGCTGAGATGTCTCTTTTGGGTTAACCATTGGCTTAATCTGGGTTCCCCCAAATAGCAGAGCCTGAGCAAGGACTGGTGTACAGGTAGTTTATTTGGGGAATGAATCCGTTTTGTATGGTTAAAATAAGAGAAGATCAAAGTATGATTTCATGAATCACACAGTTTATTGCCATACAAAGAGGTCTTTCTTTTTCAGAATTCTTAAAACGGGGGAGAATAATGAGAACAAATCTCACAAGGGATATACTCAACAGACAAGGTATATTAATCACATAATGAGTGAGCTCCAGTTTCATTTAGAATCCAGTTATTAAAGCTCAATTGAGGCTGAGCATGGTGGCTCATGCCTGTAATCCCAGAACTTCGGGAGGCCGAGGCGGGTGGATCATCTGAGGTCAGGAGTTCGAGATCAGCCTGGCCAATGTGGTGAAACCCCATCTCTACTAAAAATACAAAAATTAGCTGGGCGTGGTGGTGGGCACCTGTCCCAGCTACTCGGGAGGCTGGGGCAGGAGAATCGCTTGAACCCGGGAGGTGGAGGTTGCAGTGAGCTGAGATCACACCATTGCACTCCAGCCTGGGCAACAAGAGTGAGACTCCATCTCAAAAAAAAAAAAAAAGAAAGAAAAAAAACAAGTTCAACTGCCCACTTAAGATGGAAAGCAGGCTTTTGTGGATGCAAAGTCCAATCAGAGTTTGAGGCACAACTTTCTGGGAGAGGTTCTCGGGAGGGACAGCTTGACTAATACAATGGAGATTCATGAAGATACATGAGGTCGCTTGATGCTAGAGAGGGGTGCCAGTGTTGTGAGACGAGGCTTCAAAAACAGCTTCAGGGCCTCCAGAGAGTGGTCCGGCCACATCCTAAGCTCTCCAAGTGTCTGTCAAACTCTTGGCTTTCTATGTGTTTTGGAGTCCAGTGGTTGGTGTCAGTAGCTCACATGTGGGGTCTGATAAGGAGTGACATATCATTCCCTTGAGCAGGGAGAGTTCACTCCATGTTCTAATTACAGTAAAACAATGTCACTCTCACAACAAAGTGAAAGTGTTTGGAGTCATTTAAAGCTACATAATCAAATCCCAAGGAATTGGAGGGGAGGGATGGGAAGAGTTAAATAGGGAAGGAGGGAAAGAGAACGGCATCCAAGGGTGTATTCGTGAGTTGATCAAGTTGGTCACTACTGTGGGCAAACAGAATGCTATCATTTTAGGAGCTGCATAGAACATATCCTAGAATTGCCCACTGCAAGACTGGAGAGTAGAGTATTTTTCCAGCAGTTCCTGCCTGCCCTTTGGCCAAAGTTTGTCCCTTGAGGTGTTCCTTTGTACTTCCAGGTTTACTCATGTGTCAGAGTGGGCAGTGGATTCCTGCAAGGGTCCCAGGTTGCAGTCCCAGAGACGCAGGGGAATACCAGGTGCAGCTGAGGCAAGGTGCTCTCAGGTTACACCTGTTCACAGCAAAGTTGGGCTGGGAAGATGCAAGGCCAGACACTGAAGGTGTGTAATACAACCTTAGAAAGGTCAAATGTCCTTTTCTGTCTTATGCAAATAGGACTACAATTCAGTTTAATTCTCAGAGTCAGGATCTATGTTTTTTTTTTCTTGGGGGAAAGACGAATTCTTCATTTAACTGCTTTTCTAGCAAAGCATAATCCTCAAGCTGTAATTTCAGTATAGTGATTTATTTTTAACCCTGTGGTACTGTATGCCTAATGTTCTGAAACACCGTCACTGGAGCAAATCCAAGCTTGAGTCTATCTGTGAAATGGGCACAGAAAACCAAGTGCATCCTCCTTTCATGATTCTCCCAGTCGTCAAGGCTGTATGTGCTAGGAGCTGGGGATAAAGAAGAGAGCCTTAGCCCTCTAGAAGCTCACAGAATGGATGTACAGAGTCAACAGTTTTGTGTTTTGAGACAGTCTCCCACTGTTGCCCAGGCTGGAGTGCAGTGGCACCATCTCAGCTCACTACAACCTCTGCCTCCCAGGCTCAAGCAATTCTTCTGCCTCAGCCTCCCATGTAGCTGGGATTATAGGCATGTGCCACCACGACTTGCAGGGTTTCACCACATTGGCCAGGCTGGTCTCAAACTCCTGGCCTCAAGTGATCCACCCGCCTCAGCCTCCCACAGTGCTGGGATTATAGGCGTGAGCCAATGCACCTGGTCTACAGTTTTCTTTAGATCTTCGTCAGGCCAGTACTTCCCTCCTCCTGTTTTCATCTTCCTATATTTGTGAGTTTCATTCATTCTCTTTATTCTATTCATTCCTTCTCTGTACTTTACCTAAACATAGTTGTGAATCCCCAAAATCTGAGCCAGGTCAATTTAGGAAGTTTATTGTCCCAAAGTTAAGAACTCACGCAAGTGAGACAGCCTCCAGTCCTGACATGTGCCCAAGGTGGTCAGGGCACAGCTTGGTTTTATACATTTTAGGAAGACATGAGACATCAGTCAACATATGTAAGATGAACATTGCTTCAGTCTGGAAAGGTGGGACAACTCGAAGTGGGGAGGGGGCCCCCAGGTCATAGGTAGATAAGAGACAAACTAGCAATCTTTTGAGTTTCTGATTAACCTTTCCAAAGGGGGCAATCAGATATGCATTTATCTCAGTGAGCAGAGGGTGACTTTGAATAGAATGGGAAGCAGGTTGGCCCTAAGCAGTTCCCAGCTTGACTTTTCCCTTTAGCTTAGTGATTTTGGGGCCCCAAGATTTCTTTTCCTTTCACATAGCTCCACCACTAATGTGTCCTGGTATCTTCTCTCCTCAGCCTGTTTCTTATCCTGGAAAGTGAGTGCTGGCGCAGGGCGATAGCGCGGTGGGGCGGGGTTGGGAGGAAACCCTTATCCGTGGCCGATCGCCCTCCGCTGTTCCATTATTAAAACTCTGAGAAACTGCTATTCTTAAATTATTTTAATTATTTTTAAAGATCCTGAGGAGCAGATTTTTTTTGTTGTTGTTGTTGGTGAGACGGAGTCTCGCTCTGTCGCCGAGGCTAGAGTGCAATGACGCAATCTCGGCTCACTGGACCCTCCGCCTCCTGGGTTCAAGCGATTCTCCTGCCTAAGCCTCCCGAGTAGCTGGGATTACAGGTGTGCGCCTCCATGCCCAGTTAATTTTTGTATTTTTAGTAGAGACGGGGTTTCACCATGTTGGCCAGGCTGGTCTCGAACTCCTGACCTCAAGTGATCCACCTGCCTCGGCCTCCCAAAGTGCTGGGATTACAGGCGTGAGCCACCGCCCCCAGCCTTTAAATAAATTTCATCTGATCAAAAGAAATTTAAAAACCAACCAACCCTAATGCGCTCTAAAGACAGCAACACGCACAGGACCTGGAAAGAGCCTCTTCCTCACCGGCGTTTTCCTCACTTCGGGGAGCGGCGCCTTCACCTCCCGGCCTCAGCCCCCGAGGCTGAAGCCCTTTCCGCACCTGGCTCCACCTCCCTGACCCCTGCCCCGGCCCGGCTGTCGGGGAGCGAGAAGGCGGCGGGGGATCTGGCGCCTGGCTTAGGGGCGAGACGGCCGCACCTGGCGCCTGGCACCTTGGGCGGGAGGAGGGCCACGCCCGGCGCCCACGGCGGAGGAGGCTGCTCGGCGGCCCCCCCCCAGCCACGCCGCCGTGGGCCCCGCCCAGCGTAGCCCCAGCGCGCGCTTAGTGTGTAGGCGCGTCCGGGTGGCGGAGGCCGCAGGCCACAGCAGTGCTGGTGGAGGGGCTTCCAGAAAGAGCCTGCGGCAGCACCCCCTCGGCTCTCCCGGCAGGAGCGCGGGCACCTGCGCGGCGCCGGGTGAAGGCGAGCGCCTCGGCGAGCCCTCTGCAGCGGAGCCCCCTGCCCATTTGGTTTTGGGTAAGAGGAGGGGTCCGCGGCTCCGCAGCTCGGGCGGGATGCCCTGGCGCCCTCTACTCGGTTTGGTTCGGCCTCACGTGTTCCTTTAGCCCGGAAGCCGGGATACGGGTGGGGAAGGGGCGAGCCCTGCGGCCGCAGCGGGGTAAGAGTAGGACGGACCGATCTCGCCCAGACCTCAGAGTGTCCTCACTCGCCTCCCTCTCGGCTTCTCGGTCGACGGCTCCAGCAGTATGATCTGGCATTTATTATTCGGAATAATGTGCCAGGCAGGAGGAGGCCCTGGGTCAAACCCGCGGCCCTGCAGCTCCCAGGTGAAACGACTCAGCGTTTCCTGCTGGCGCATCTTACTGAAGGGGACCCAGGCCTCACGAAGGGAAGGAGCCGTCCTCAAGGTCACGTCGTAGTCCAAGGCCGAGCCCAGACCGAAGCCAGGTCCCCTGCCTTATAGCCCGGGCTCTAGGCCCTGTCCCTTTCCGGACCGAATCTCCAGGTCCTGTCCGCGTCCCTCCTCCTCCTCCCGCGTCCTCCGCGAGGCTCTGTTCCCGGGGTTCGGGGAGTGCTCCCTCCGCGCCACAGCGCCCTGGGGAAGACTGCTGGACAGCAGGCAGGCCACGGGGCCGGGAAGGAGGAGGAGCCGCGGGGGCAGGCTGCGGATGCCAGAGTGGTGGTGGGCACGGGACTGGCCAGGGCAGGAGCCCAGGCTGCCCACTCGCAGGAGGACTAAGGGGCTTTGTCTGGGCGGTGCCGCCTCAACCAATGGGAAGCGCGGCCCTGGCCGAGCCCCCTCGCTCCCCGCCCTCCGGCCGGCCGTTGGGGAGCGCGGCTCTGGGATTGGCTGCGCCGCGGTCTCGGGCGTTCTCGCGCTCTGCTTCCGTGCTGGAGCGCGCCGGATAGATACCCTGTGGGTGTGAGCGCTCCAATCGGTCCCGAGCGGCCCAGGCGCCTTGGGCGTGCGTCCTGCGCGCGGCCGCCTCCAGGCTGCGGCCTTCTGGGGAAGGGTTTGGTGCTGCGCGCAGCGACGAACTCCGCGGTTTTTTTCCCCAGCCAGCCAGCCTGGAAATCTGCCTGTAGTCAGCTGATGCAGAGTCCACCCTGCAGTTCCTACTTTGAGGAGTTGCAGAAGCACATATTTCTTTATGGAGGGCCGCCTGCAGGCCTCGCGCTGCCAGGATCCTTTGTGACAGGATCCTTTGCTGCAGATGTCCTGGTGAATGTCCTTCTTTCTACAAGAGGCGTTGGAGCCGGGCTCTGCACAGGGCGTATGTATATCCCTGGCCGGCAAGGAAGCTGACCCTTGAAATTTGTGAAGCTTTCGTATTCACCCAATACACATTTACAGAGCCTCTGCTTCCTGTCAGGGACCACACAGTAGATATTCGGATGAGCAAGAAGAGAGTGATTCATCATGCGGGTCCTGCCTGTAGGGCGCTCACAGTCCCCGTGGGGATTGGTGGTAGGATGGGGGCTCGTGAATGTTTATAAACAGAAATCCCTCGAATACGACCCTGGCTAGGCAGGTGCTGTTACAGAGGCACAGAAGGGAGGATATTGGGCGAAAGATTTTTGAATTAGGGGATTAGGAAAGGCAGCTTGGGAGAGTTATTTGAACCAGCTGGGACTTGGTCAGATGAGCAAGGCCCGGAAATTGGAAAGTACAGGGCTTGTTGAGGGATGGTGTAGCAAGTGGTTTAATGAGTAGAGGAGAAAAGTATAGTTGGAGATACGGTTTGGAGGAGCCAGGTGAGGACTCGGGAGCTCAGCTTGTGTACTCGGGTTTGAAATGCAGTAAGCACTTGTGAATAGAAAGGCTCCTTAATCACTTGCACTACTGTCATTTTTTACACCTACACTAAATATCTTGGAAATGTCTTTGATTCTTCCTTCTTTTATATCCTGCCCTCAACCTGTTGGTAAATGGTAGTGGACTCTACCTTCAATATAAAACCAGACTTACCAATTCTAATCACTTCCATGGTTTTCACCGGGGCTGGCAGCCTTTTTGTACATTTCTAAGGAACACGTTTTCACATCTCACGGAGTTGTGCAATATACAACCTGCATGACTGTACATGGTGGCCCTGGATTACTGCCACAGATCCTAACTGGTCTCCCTGCTTCTGCTCTAGTCCATTCTCAACTTATTAACCCAATGAGATTTATCTTTTTAAAAATGTAAGTCTGATAATGGCACTCCTCTTCTTAAAACTTTTTTTTTTTTTTGAGATAGAGTCTCGCTCTGTTGCCAGGCTGTAGTGCAGTGGCATGATCTCGGCTCAATGCAACCTCCGCCTCCCAGGTTCAAGCAATTCTCTTGCCTCAGCCTCCCGAGTAGCTGGGACTACAGGTACACGCCACCACACCCAGCTAATTTTTGTATTTTTAATAGAGACAGGGTTTTACAATGTTGGCCAGGATGGTCTTGATCTCTTGACCTAGTGATCCACCCGCCCCAGCCTCCCAAAGCGCTGGGATTACAGATGTGAGCCACCACACCCAGCCAAAACTCTCTTAATTCATTTAATTATGTATCGGCCAGACATAGTGGCTCACACCTGTAATGTCAGCACTTTAGGAGGCCGAGGTGGGCAGATCATTTGAGGTTAGGAGTTTGAGACCAGCCTGGCCAAAATGGTGAAACTCCATCTCTACTAAAAATACAAAAATTAGCCAGGTATGGTGGTGCATGCTTGTAACCCCAGCTACTCAGGAGGATGAGGCAGGAGGATCGCTTGAACCTGAGAGGTGGAGGTTGCAGTTAGCCAAGATTGTGCCCCTGCACTCCAGCCTGGGTGACAGAACAAGATTCCATCTCAATAAATAAATAAATAAATAAATAAATAAATAAATATTGTCTGTTGTGTGCAGGGCACTGTTGTACATGTTGGAGATACAATGGTGAGCAAAACAGACAAAAATTCCTGTTCTCAAAGAGCTTATATTCTAATGAGACTGAATGACAGCAAACAAGATAAATATGTATAACATGTAGAATGCTATAATGTAATAAAGTGCCAAGGAGGAGGAAAAAATGGAAGCAGAGAAGGCGGATAGATAGTCAGGGTTGGGGTGAGATAGACGGGGTGGCCAGAGAATGTCTTAGTAAACATTTTAGTAAAGGACTGTGGATATTGGGGCAAGAGGGTTCTGGGTAAAGGGAACAGTAAGGACAAAGGCCCTAAAGCAGGAGCTGGCTTGCCATATTCCAAAGACAGTAAGAAAGCCACTGTGACCAAAGTACAGTGAACAAGGTAGGAATGAGGCCAGAGAGGCAATGGAGACCCAGAACATGGAGGGCCTTGTAGGCGAACTCTAGATTTTGACTTCTACTCTGGCAGGAGTTTGGTGAGGCATGACGTGATCGGATTTATGTTTCTGCATGATCCTGCAGGCTGTGTTGAGCGGAATCTGGAGGAACTACAGTGGAGGCGGAGCGTCTAGTTGGGAGCCTATTGCAATAATCCAGGCAAGAAGGGATGAAGGCTTAGACTAGGCTGGTAGTGGAGGATCCTAGATATATTGTGAAGGTGGCATTGATAGGATTTGCCGAGCACCGGGCTGTGGAGTGTGCAGGAAAGAGGAGTCAAGAATGAGGAAGATTTAGAGGAACAGGTGTGCGGACAATAGCACAGGCTCAGTTTTGGACAGGTTACGTTTGAGATGCCTAGTAAACATTCAGGTGGAGATGTTGGATGCGCAGTTGTCTGAGTTCAGGGGAGAAGGTTGGGTTGGAGGTCAACCTTTGGGAGTTGGTGGCATGCGAATCTTATTTAAAGCTATGAGTGCTCGTCATGGTGCTGAGAACAGACCAAGAACAGAGTCCGAGACTCCGTCGTTTAGTGACCAGCGTTTAACTTGGTAGGCAAGCCCTGTTCTCCTAGCGATAGAGTGCCCACTTGACCTGGCAGTTGTAATTATGGCAGTTTTGACAGCTCGGGTAACACTATGTCTTGGGGAAGTACAGAAGAGGAATGGAATGGGGGAAGCACATGTTCCTGTTGTCATTATAAGGTCATTATAAATGAGGCATTCTCAGAATAGAGGTCCAAACTGAAAATTAATATACCTCATACGCTGTTGGTGGGAATGTAAATTAGTAAAACTACTACAGAGAATAGTTTGGAGGTTCCTCCAGAAACGAAAAATAGAGCTACTCTAGGATCCAGCAGTACCACTGCTAGGTATATACCCAAAAGGAAGGAAATCAGTATATCGAAGAGATATCTGCACTCCCATGTTGGTTCCAGCACTTTTGACAATCGCTAAGATTTGGAAGCAGCCTAACTGTCCATCAACAGATAAATGGATAAAGAAAATGTGGTGCCTATACACAATGGAGTACTATTCAGCCAGCAAAAAAGAATGAGATCCTGTCATTTGCAACAATATGGATGGAACTGGAGGTCATTATGTTAAGTGAAATAAGCCAGGCACAGAAAGGCAAGCTTTGCATGTTCTCACATATTTGTAGGAGCTAAAAATTAAAACAGTTAAACTCATGGCGATATAGTAGAATGATGGTTACCAGAGGCTGGGACGGGTAGTGAGGGTCTGTGAGAAGATGAGATGGTCAATGGGTACAAAAAAGTTAAAAAGCATGAATAAGAACTAGTATTTGTGAGCATAACAGAGTGACTACAGTCAATACTAATTTAATTATACATATAAAAATAACTAAAAGAGTATAATTGGATTGTTTGTAACGCAAAGGATAAATGCTTGAGGGGGTGGATACCCCGTTTTCCCTGAGGCGATTGTATGCCTGTATCAAAATAGCTCATGTACCCCATAAATATATGCAACTACGATATACCCACAAAAATAAAAAGTTACAGATAATAATGTTCTGCCTTCAGTGTGTTTTAGCTGCTATTGATTTGGCGGCAAGTAGCAGAAACTTTCAGCTGACTTACATTACACAGAGACTGTAAAGGCACAGCCCGGCTTCCAGAGCTGGGGGGCAGGAGGGCGGCGGTGGCTGCCGCTGTTGCTTTTCTCCCTCCCTCCACCTCTGCCCCTGCTGCCTTCTGCATGAGCCTCTTACCCCCCCACTGCCTGTGGATTGGCTTTCTCCCTCTCTTTGTGGCTTCAGGGCCCAGTGGAGTATAGCTGCCATCCTCCAGCAACCCCATGGCATGGCCCTGCGCCACAGAGCATGGTTCGCATTCTCTCACGGTGCCAGGGGACAGAACAATGTGTTCACCTTAGGTCTGATGTCTCTTCCTGGCTCAGTCCTCCATGAGCAAAGCGCAGTCTCTGCAGCTGCAGAGGCCGAATCCTATGGGGGAGGGGCAGGTCTGAGAGGAGGGGCATCCGGTGAGCAGGACACACTCTGGAAAGGTATCACTGCAGAGTGTTTGTGGTGTGTTATCGGAGGAGAACAAGCCTAATCTGGTGCCTGGAATGTCTCTCAGGACAGTCAAGGTGTCTGCAGTGGGTGTGCCTAATGTTCGACCCTTGGCTTTTATTGAAGGCCCCTGTGAAACAAGCTATGTGAGTGTCACGTCTGCGTGTATGATACAGTGGTGGTGAGAACATTGTCTACTGTATCACTTGAGTTCCTGTGTAATTATTTCTGACTTTTGTTTCAGAATGGTGTTTCTCTGAGGAGTCTTAGGTGTCTTTTTGAATGAGGGCTTGAAAACTTGTCAGGTTTCCCTTTGGCATGACCTCAAGGAAGCTCCCACGTATAGCTGAGCTGGGCTGGAACTTTCAAGCAAGACTCTACGAACCGTTCGGAAGAGGAATGGCCAAACATATATATTTATATATTATATAAATATATATGTATAAAAATATAGTTCTTTGATTATAGTGCATATATATATGTGTGTGTGTATATATATATGGTCAGGAATCTCAAAACTCAAATGCCCATAATGTCCAGGCAATTAACAAAGATGACATGGATAGTTTTAACGTAGTAAGTACAAACTGTTTGTATTGAGTTCAAGCATAGCTTAGCTGCCTAGTTACACTGGTTTTTAAAACATCAGGCTGGCCAAACAAATCAGCCAAGCAGAACATGTTTAGGTAGGCTGCCAGTTGTAGGATTTGGGAACCTGACACAGAAACTGGCTGGTCTGAAGCTCTTCAGTGTGGGTTCTCTGCATTGAAGCCTAAACCCTGCCTCAACCCAGCTTGCCCTCCTCAGGGGCAGGACCTTCCCCTCCCACTTGGGAGTGCCAAGGGCCCATGTAGGCCTCATGTCCAGAAACACCTGAGTTCTCTTTCCTGCCTCCTGTGACCCTGTTTGCTGCGGACGCCCTGCCTCTGTTGAGAATGTTAGCACTGGGAGTGCCCGCCCCTTTGGGGGGGCCCCTGCTGCTGCCTCACAGGAAAGCCCCAGCCATGACCTCTGCAGGACAGTCATGTCAGAATGGAACACAGCAAGCCCAGCAGTGAGGCAAGGATGCACACACTGTTTTCTTCTTTTCTGGAGTAGGAGTGCTTACCTTGACAGTGGAGAGGGCCCTTGAGAGAAGGCCCAAGTGCTTCTAGCAATAGAAAAATGTCTCCAAGATTCCAGGTTGCTATGTGAGCATTTTGATTTTGTGACAGTATCTTATGAGTTTGGTGCCTGGGAGTCAAGCCCCCTGTGCTCAGTCACCTCGGGGCAACTAATTACCTGAGTTTCAAGGCTGAGAAGACTGAGCACCCGCCTCCCACAGCCATTTCTGTTCCCAAACTAAAAGGCAAGAGAATGGTGTGTGAAGTTGGAGAATTTATATTTACAGAGAATAAGGCCTGACACAAAACATGAAGATGGTAGACAGCAACCCTGCAGCGTCCTGGGAGCCCTGCAGTGGAAATAGCTGCATGTTTCAGAAACACGCACGCAGCAGACCACACCGAAAACAGTGCATTGTCCAAGGGACCCAGCTTTTATGCACTTTTAACTATTTTGACTTTAGTACTTTTAGATATTGCTGACTTCAAGGAAAACAAAATGGAAAGCAGCTGTCTATTTGGAGATCATATTAAAGCATTTTCTGCCACAGGCATTGAGCTAAGGGGTGGAAAGGACTTTAATTATAGATGACTGGATGGGAAGTCTCCCAGTGATGGTGACCTCAGACTCTGGTCCTGGGTCTTGGAGGGAGGAGGTAGAGATGTGTGTGCTCAGCCAGCCTGTCAGTACTGTGATGGCAGGAGGGGTTTCCTCATTAAAAAGTCTGAGCCAGCACGGGCCTGTGCCTTCCATAAAACTATAAAAAGCCAGTCTGGGCTCCATTCTGCTGTTCTCTGCAAGGAACTTTCCATGGAAACTTCTTTTGTGGCCACAGGCCAACTTTCCACCCCCAGACTGTCCTGCGGGAACTCACTCAGCTCCCGTCCACTCCCCAGGGACTCAGAGTACCTCCTCTGCGTCAAGCTCGTTCTAGGCACTGAGGATTTGGTGGTGAACCAGGTGGACAGGGTTCCTGGTGTCACTGAACTTACGATCTGGTAGAGGAAGATAAAGTAAATAAACAAGGTAATTTTGGATTAAGGTAGCTGCTATGACAGTGATTTTACAGAGAGCAACCTGTGTGTTGAATGGGAGCCACTTTAGTGAGGGAGTCAGAGGACTCAGCATCCAGGATGAGGGCAGAGGAGGACCCAGGACTCTGAGGCAGGAACACTCTAGCGTAGGCAAGGAGCTCTCGGAGTCAGTGCTGGCTATGGCACAGTGAGCAAAGAGGAAGGTGGCCCGGTGAGCTAGGGGCCTCCAGGGAGGGAGAGGCCAGCCCCAGTGGGCATGGAAAGTTCTTTAAACACGTAAGTCGCATAGCTTGACTAGAGTTAAATAGGTTTCTGGGCTGCTGTGCTGAGAATGGGGTGTGGCAAATAAGGGCAGGCGTACAAGCGAGAGTTTACTGTAGTTTTGGAAAGATAACACCACAGAGATTCCTGCCTGCTTTCCTTTCCTGAGGATTAAACAAATTAAACCCCCCTCCAACAGGGCGCATGGTAGTGGTTGCTTAGTCAACACTGCTGACCCCTGGCCCCAGGGGGCTGTTCTCAGTCAGGTTTGGGGTAGCAGCCAACAGGCAGGGGAGGAGCCTCCCAGGCAGTACCTTGTTCCCGGGAACTGTATGACAGACTACAGCCAGGTAGGCAGAGGAGAGGCTAGAACCCATTCACCAGGCCGCCTTCCTTCCCTTAGGCCTGGAGGAATCACTGTTAACAGAATCGGAGGGCAACGCACGCCCGTGCTGATCCGCAGTCAATAATGCTGAGGAGTCCTGGCGCCCAGTAGCCTTAAAAGGTGTTACTAAGAGATTCTTGTTGCAATAAGGTTGCTTTAACCTCAAATGGGGAGGGACGGGGAGGGTGTGTGTGTGTGTGTGTGTGTGTGTGTGTGTGTGTGTGTGTGAATTACAAGAGTCTTTTATTTGGCAGCTCCAAACTCCATGCTATAATGAATTACTGATTAATTCAACCTCAGAGCCAGAGCGCCCTTGTTTGTTGGGATGGGGGAAAGAGGTGGACAGCTGAGTCAGAGGCTATGTGGCATGGGGCCAAGCTGCCTGCAGGGGCAGGTGGGCACCACAGGTGGGTGTTTCAGCAGGTTAGAGGAATAGGATTTACCGAGTCAGAATCCCTGAGGGGTTGGGTCCCCGAGTCTCCCAGCGGTTGGGAGTTTGAGGATCACTGATGGGGCCACCCTGCTCACGTTATGAATGGGTGATGACTTGCCCAGGGTTGCCCAGTGCTTTTGGTGGCACAGCTAGAGCCAGAACCCAGGCTTCCAGGAACCCTGGCTCCTGACTCTTTCTATCATGGGGCTGCAGCTTGAGAGAGGACCCAGAGCGGACTGCCTGGTACCAGGACTGGAGCTGGGTGGAACAGATGCAGCCCAGTTTGACTTTCACAACCTGAAAGAAACATGACTACTCCTGATTAAAGCCCCGAAGGCAACAAAGTAATGCTGAGGGTGCGTTTGTGTTTCAGAACCCCTGGGAGGAACTGGGCCATTCTACCACCTGTTGCTACCATGCTGGCCACCCGCCTCTCCAGACCCCTGTCACGGCTCCCAGGAAAAACCCTAAGTGCCTGTAATAGAGAAAATGGAGCAAGGTAAGCAACTAGAAGTGGTGGTGGCTTTGAGGGTGACTTTCTGGGCAAGCAGAGCTTTTCACACACGGACGGCATAGGCAGTAATGAGGCCTGATTCTCAAAGATGTCTGTCTCTCAATACCTACGTCTCCCGGCAGAGGAAACTCAGAGGTGTCCTGGGAAGACATATTCCCAGGGCACACAGGGCAAAGAGGAATATCTTTCATAACCGCTTTTTTTTTTTTTTTTTTTGACGGAGTCTCACTGTGTCGCCAGGCTGGAGTGTAATGCGCTATCTTGGCTCACTGCAACCTCCGCCTCCTGGGTTCGAGTGATTCTCCCAACTCATTCTCCTGAGTAGCTGGGATTACAGGTGCCCGCCACCACGCCCAGCTAATTTTTATATTTTTAGTAGAGATGGGGTTTCACCAGGTTGGCCAGGCTGGTCTTGAACTCCTGACCTCAGGTGATCCACCCGCCTCGGCCTCCCAAAGTGCTAGGATTCCAGGCATGAGCCACCGTGCCCAGCCATAACCACTTCTTAAACCCCTTTTTATTTTGAAATAACTTTAGACTTACACGAAAGTTGCAAAAATTGTTGGAAAGGGTTTCTGGATCCCCTTCAGCTAACTTCCCTAAATGTTAACATCTTACAAAACCATACTGCAATGATCAAAATCAGGAAATTACCATTGAGAGAATACTATTAACTAGTCTGCAGACCTCATTCCAGTGTCGCCAAGCAACGGCTGACGGACCTTTTTCTGGTCCAGGATCGAATCCCGAGTCTCACATGGCACAGAAGTGTTATGTGTTTTTAGTTTCTTCCTACCGGGGACAGGTCCTCAGTCTTTTTCGCTCACGACCTTGACACTCTGGCTGGTTATGTTGTACAATGTCTCTCAGTTTGGGTTCGTGTGGCAAGAAGCCCGCGGCAGTGAAGTGGTGCTTTTCTCAGTCCTTCGTGCCAGGAGGTACATTATTTTATGTGGCTCATCACTTTAGCCACCTGGATAACTGTTCTTTTAAAAATTTATGCATGAAATCAGTTAACTGAAATGTCCCAAGACTTCACTGAATCATTTGTGTGATTTCGAGGCAGCTTTATGTAAGTACAAATTAGACAAGCAGCTGTTCTTCTTTGAGAGCTTCTGGAATTGCCTTTTCCCAGGGGATTCAGTGGGCTCTGCTGCTACAGTTGACTCTTTTGCAGTCTGAGCAAGGAAAAAACAAGAAATGCCTTTTTCTTTCTGTTATATTTGAGGGGAGTGAAATTGAAGGTTAGGTTAAATTCAAAGTCCCAGGAGCTAGAACACTGATATTTTCTAGGCCAATAATATGTTTAGAAGAACATGCATTTAGACTGAGCCTCTGTTGCCCAGGAAATGTGGCAACCTCTTGGCTCAGAGCAACCTCTCCCTCCCGGGTTCAAACAATTCTCCCGCCTCAGCCTCCTGAGTAGCTGGGACTACAGGCATATGCCATCATGCCCAGCTAATTTTTTGCATTTTTAGTAGAGATGGGGTTTTTGCCATATTGGCTAGGCTGGTCTCGAACTCCTGACTTCAAGTGATCCTCCTGCCTTGGCCTCCCAAAGTGCTGGGATTCACCGTGTCCGGCCCGGCTTTTAGCAGCATTTGCTTGAATTTATTTCTGAGAGATACAGAGGCGTGGCTTGGAGTTGGGGCTCCACCTACCTGAGGACCCCACGTGAGAAGAGTTTAGAATACCCCACTGGCACAGGTGGCAGGAGGCCCCTGCCATCAGAGCAGGGACGGAGCTTGGCTTTGTTGAAGGGCTTTTGAAAGAAGGTGACTTGCTGCAATTGTTTTTTCAGTGAGTGATTAATAAAAATGGCAAGATCTGTCTCCATGATGGCTTTTAGAGATTTCTGGAGTTTTTTTTACAGAGGAGAAAATAAGCCCACAGGAAGTTAAAATACTTTTACAAAGGTTTTGTTCTCAAATTTAAGGAAAGCGAGGCATTAGTCAAGCTCCTGGCTCACTTGAGGGGAAAGAAAGGTTGTCAAAGGGAATTCGGAATCTTGTGGATGGACTGAGAAGTAACTTGGTTAGGTTGAGGGGTTAGGTTAGGTTGGCCTGGGTGGTGGGTGGACAGCTGCAGAGCTGAGTCAGAGTAGAGTCAATGTCACAGGGTGAAGGCGTGGGCAGCATGGAGGGGGACCCAGGTGCAAAAGGAGGCTGGCATGGTGGGTAATTGCCATGGCTAGGATCCCACAGGACGTCTCAGTGGTGGGGAAAACCTTTGGCCTGATCATTTTGCTTGAATCTCAGTTGGAAAGAGCCTCATACTCATCTCCACCTGTGAGTGAATCTTGCTGATAGCATCCTTAACAAGTGACCTTATAGCCTCTGTTTGAATATGTCCAGTGATGGAGAGGTTAGTACCTCTCACAGCAGGCCTCCTGTGTTTGGACATCTCTTTTATGCAGTCCTTATTGAACAGAAATCTTTTCTCCTGTTAATGCCACTCCTTGTTCTCGGGTCTGCCCCTGCATTCACACTGAGCGAGTTATTCCCTTCTCCCCAGGGCACTGTGCCCCCTCAGTACCCACCCACTCACTTACTCTTTTTCCCCCCACGTGGTTTTTCCTTGTTTATCTCTCATGGTTTGCCCACTATCATCCAGGACTGCCTCCTGAATGATCTGCACTTTGCCTGTGCTGCTTCTTAAGATGTGGTGCCTGAACAAAACACCACCACTGTTGACATGCCCAGAGCAAGCGTCACCCAGTACACATGGCTCCGTCCAGATGAAAACCTTCCCAGGAGTGGCTGGATAAGGCCCCCAACCCCAACACCTGACAACCTGCTGTGCTTACTGGCTCCCCATGGCCCTGCGATTTCAGATTTCTCAGATTTCCAGCTTTGTCAGAAGACTCTGGCATCCCTGGGGCAGGTGCCTTACCCTCACATCTGGGACCCCACCTCCTGGACTTTGGTCACCAGTGCTCAGCTCTGCCAGGCCAGGTACAGCGCATGATGCTCCCCCTGGGCAGAGTAGAGAAGGGCTCTTGCCTCCCCATCCTAGTTTCTTTCCTGTCCAGCCCAGGCTCACATAGCTTCTTTTGGATGCCACATCACATGTGTGATTCATGGTCAAACAGGCTAAATTTTTTTCACAGATGCTGCTGTGAGACCATATTTCTCCCGAGCTGCACCTGTGCCACTGACCTGTGTTCCTCCTAAGCCCCGTCTTGTTAGATTCAAATGGACTCATGGCTCCTCTCAGCAGAAAGCTGGGTTACTGGTTATTGTTGCTGATTCCTGATGGGGACAATAAAAGGTATAGGCACACAAACTGGAAGATAGAGAAGCCAGAATGAAAGCCCCAGCCAGCATAGGGAGTGCTCTGAAATGCAGCCGGGATGGCCAGGGCTCTGAGGACAGCAGGCTCTTCCACGGGGCCTTGGGGAGGTGCCAGACTGCACCTCTTCCTCCCTCTCTAATTTTGTTCCTGGGTTAGGGCAAAAATCAGGAAGTTCTCGTCTTTTGAATCTCACAGCCACCCCTTTGGGTTCTCCCTTCAGAAAGTGTGTTGACCGGCAGGGTACGGTGGCTCACGCCTGTAATCCCAGCACTTTGGGAGGCTGAGGCAGGTGAATCACCTGAGGTCGGGAATTCGAGACCAACCTGTCAAACATAGAGAAACCCTGTCTCTAATAAAAATACAGAATTAGCCGGGTGTGGTTATACATGCCTGTAATCCCAGCTACTCGGGAGGCTGAGGCAGGAGAATCACTTGAACCCGGGAGGAAGAGGTTGCGGTGAGCCGAAATCGCGCCATCGTACTCCAGCCTGGGTAACAAGGGCAAAACTCCATCCCAAAAAAAAAGAGAAAGAAAGAAAGTGTGTAGACGTAGACCATCTTGAGCTTAACTTGTGCCTCCCGGGAGACCGAGACCGGTGTAACTGTTGGTGTTAGTGGCTTGGTTGGCCAGCAGCTTGCTGTCATTGCAGGATCCTCCTGGGCGGAGGAGACCCTCCAGGGAAATACACAGTATTTTATGTGCTGGTTTTGGGCCTAACGCCTCATGGGCATTCTTAGCCCTGGGAGACCAGTGTATCTGCTGGGATTGCTTCACACTAGGAGTAGCAGGAACCCCTAGAAGTCCAGGGCCATTGTGGCTTTGGGGAGCCCAGGCTCCTTGTTTTTTTCTGCTGTGTTATTCTGAAGGCAGCTGAGGATCCCAGGATACTGTGATAGTCCTCCACCTCCAGCCTCAGTCCAGGCAGGAAGAAGCAACGCACCTGCATTGGGAAAGCAAAACTCAGCAATCACGGTCGACCTCTGCTTGCACGCTATTGGCCAGAGGCAGGTCATGTGACCACTAGGTGGGTGGTGGTCTGGAAAGGGTTGGGCACGTGCGGTCCGGGACAGAATCCAGATTTTGGTTAGTGAGGCAGATGAGAAGAACGGATGCTGGCAGGCAAAGAGCAGTGTCTGTCACAGCTCAGCTGGGCTGTGGCCTCCAGCTGTTCACATAGGGATATTGGGGCTTTGGCAGTCAAGAGGCTCAAACGGGAACCCTCTGGGGATAGGCCTATTTTTTTTTCTTTTTCTGTAGGGCAGAGGTATTGAACTTTGGTTGTGGGTTAGACTCACCTAGAGAACAGTGAGGGAAAAAGTATCTGTGCCTCATCCCTGGGTCAGGAGTGACGCTGGGCAAAGGAATACTTTAAAGAACTTCCCTGTGATTAAAAAAAAAATCATTCTATGGAGAATCTCGAACAAATGCAAAAGTAGAAAGCGGTATATTAATCCCTGGAGTACCTATCACCTGCGTTTTCATAATTATCAGCACATGACCAATCTTGTTTCAGCTGCGTCTCCGTTTTCCTCCGCCTCCCCATACTAGATTTTTTTCGAAGCAATTCCTGGACGCGGTATTTCATTTGCAAATATTTTAGTATTTATCTCTAAATGATAAGAGCTCGTTTTATTAATATAACCACACAACCATGATAACATTTCCAAGTGATTCTGATAAACAGGGGCCC